TTTAAATTCAATTTTTGTGAACGAGAGTTTTACGATTACTAAGAAGGTAAATCGCGCCTTTAGATATAACCAACTGTTAAGTCAAACCACCAAAGCGGCGCTTTGTATTGATTTTTTTTACATTTAACGATTCTAGTAACGGTCGTTTGTTGGTCAAGGACAAAGTTTATAAAACTGTGGAAACTGCCACGGTTTAAAACAAAGAGAGAAATATTATATAAGTGCACGAGGATTAAAACTGCAAACATATAATTAATTTAAACTTAAATAATGTTTATCGCAAGAATCGAAGAATCTTGAAAACTACAGCGAGCGGTAGACTTTTATTAAAACGTGGTAAAAATGTTTGCCTATATAAATCTTCAGTGCTTTTGCATAAACTATGAATAATGTTTGTGCAGTAATAAATTTATTTTTCACAGCGACGATATCTGCATAGCGTGGTTAAGGTAATTGAAAAGCGTGATGCGTCTGTTTGAAAATTGTACTTTAAAAGTAAAATTAAATTCGAAGGTCGATGGTTTATGGTCTGGAAAGCAAAACAATGTTAGGTACTCGTTCCACATTTCACATTTACCTTAATTTCTCGATAAAGTTTTTATTTTACATTGGCTAGCTACTTAACTAGACAGTACTTATAGCCAAATCTCTTAATAGATGTTTATTTGAAAATGCTCATAGAAACGACGCAATCGCAGACTTTTATTAATTCTATATTATATATATACATATATATATATATATATATATATATCTATATATATATATATATACAACGTGTCCCAAAATTCAACGATAAGCCGGTACCGGTGTATGGTCGGGTCAATAACCACCCATGGAAAAATAATAAAAAAAAAAACAGCTCTTTTTTTTTCAAAGTTACATTAACTTTTTTGAAAAATGTTGTAATTTGATACCCTACACCCTATGATTAGATACTGTGGTTACAAATGTGAACATATCCCCACATTTTTTTTTTGTATTAGCTACATAAGTAACATAACTATTAATTGCAGTTCCAAAAAGGACCTATACATTCGTAGTTTTTAATATAAAAATAAAATAAATAATCTTTTTTCTTGAATTTTTTGAATATTTAAACTTTTAATCAACTTTGACATGCTACTGTGTAAAAAAAATGTATGAAATGTACTATGGCATGTTATTACAAAAGTTAGCGCAACTCATCACAATTCTAAAATGGTGCAATACTATGACAACACTTGTAAAAATTCTAAGAATTCTCTTATCAAGACACAAAGAGGATTATTCAGTTTAGTTTTTGAAAACATTACCTACTGTTCAAAAAAGGGTTTTAAGACTGTTTCAATGAAACTCATAATGAGAAATTAAGATATTTATTGCGTACTGAAATTAAATGTTCAAATTGTTGACCATCTGCGTCAACACACGCGTGACAACGCCTTAAAAATGATCTTTTAATGAGTCTCGCATATCCCCGTCTGTTCATATCTTCTGCAGCCTCCAAGATTCTTTGACGCAGTTCGTCAATTGTTGCAATTGGTTTGGCATAGACTTTGTCTTTCAGGCAACCCCAGTAAAAAAAATCCAGTGGATTTAAACCCAGAGAACGGGGCGGCCATGCAATGGGACCTAGACGACCGATCCATCGATCTGCATATTCTAGGTCCAAATAATTTCTCACTGGACGTGCGTAGTGAGCTGGGCAACCATCGTTTTGGTACCACATATCTCTTAGTACGTTTAAAGGTACATCCTCTAGGAGATTAGGCAAAGTATTTTGCAGAAAATTTAAATAAGTTTCGCCATTCAAAATTGCTGGCAATTCAAATGGACCGATAATCTGACCATTTAATATGCCCGTCCACAAATTGATCTTGAACTGATACTGCGACTTGTCTTCTCGCATTAAGTGCGGGTTCTCCACGCTCCAACTGTGTAAATTGTGAAGATTTAAGTAACCATCTTTTTACAGGTTGTTTCGTCTGACCATAAAATCCTATCTAAGAATTCTTGATCCTCGGCATTCTTCCTAATCATCAAACGGCAAAACTCTTTTCGAGCAGGATAGTCCCGGGGTAACAAATTTTGCACACGTCTTACGTGGTACGCATGAAATCTTTCACGTTTCAGAATACGCTGGGTGGTACTTTTTGGGATTTCCGTAGATTCCTCTATGGCACGGACTGAAGTATTAGGGTCATTTTCAATCTCTTCCAGTACTTCTTCTTCGCGATTTGACCTAGGTCTGCCTGCATTTCTTCGGTTGCTTGGTAAATGACCTTCACAAAATGTCATTGATGACGGTTTTCTACCTGAATCTGCCACCCAAAACCCTTTTTTGAACAGTGGGTAATGTTTTCAAAAACTAAACTGAAAAATCCTCTTTGTGTCTTGATAAGAGAATTCTTAGAATTTTTACAAGTGTTGTCATAGTATTGCACCATTTTAGAATTGTGATGAGTTGCGCTAACTTTTGTAATAACATGCCATAGTACATTTCATACATTTTTTTTACACAGTAGCATGTCAAAGTTGATTAAAAGTTTAAATATTCAAAAATTTCAAGAAAAAAGATTGTTTATTTTATTTTTATATTAAAAACTACGAATGTATAGGTCCTATTTGGAACTGCAATTAATAGTTATGTTACCTAGGTAGCTAATACAAAAAAAAATGTGGGGATATGTTCACATTTGTAACGGCAGTATCTAATCATAGGGTGTAGGGTATCAAATTACAACATTTTTCAAAAAAGTTAATGTAACTTTGAAAAAAAAGGAGCTGTTTTTTTTTTATTATTTTTCCATGGGTGGTTATTGACCCGACCATACACCGGTACCGGCTTATCGTTGAATTTTGGGACACGTTGTATATATATATATATATATGTGTGTGTGTGTACTCCACATAAGTTCAAATTCGAAATGTGCCCTTTGAGTGCAGTGCTTAAGTTAGAAATTCAGTAAGCTAACATAAAGATCCGAGTATTTTTAAGCTATAAACTTGTCATATGCATTTTCTCAGTAAATTTAATGGGTAGCGTACACACCCGCGCTATTATTTACTTACAGTTGGCAGTTACAAATTACGGTTTGAAGGACTATGCAGGGACTGCAACACAATATATTTCGCATGTGAAAGCGACGGGCCACGCCCTGACGTACATCAAATGCGTTGGATAGTCTGACGTGTTTAAATATGATATGTTATTTATCATAGAATGTTAGTCAGTATTAACTAAAAAAATATATATTTTAACCATTATAAGAATATACCTTCTCAGAAAGTCACATGAAGAATACAGATATATTTTTATAAAAATATTTTCTTAGAAAGAGTGCGGACAGACTTTTGTAAGTCGCTTTCTTAAAAAGATTGTTTTCAAAAAGGTGTAGGTATATTACGTGAAGGGTGAAACAAGACGAAGCATTAGTAGGCGCCGAGTGTTTACTGAAGAGTCGGTGTGGCATCGCTAATGAGCAGGGAATCGGTGAAAGTGCGTGTAGGACGTGAACCGCAGCAGCCGCAGAAACGGCCTCTTCAATAGTATGTGTACAGAGTACCCATTGCCACCTACTACCTCTCAGTTCGTCCTCTTGTTACACTGTACATGTTTGACGCACTATCTCTGACCTCCTTATTGCAAATCATGTATAGACAAATACATTCAACTCATGGATATAGCTTGAGTAGTTGGTTTGGTAGTCGGTTTTACAAATTTTTGCATTGCTATAAAGATCCTCGTATGGATTGTGTTTATTGTTAATGGTTGCGCTATAAGTTTGTTTACGTCGCTATTTTAATAAAATAATGATTGCAAATATGATACCTCAATCTTAAGTTTACTATTACTTAAATTTATATTTTTTTCTACTTTTAGTTTTAATTTGCTGTTTTGTGAAACTTGCATGATCTTTAGAATTCTATAGTTAAACTGAAATAAAAACTCTTTGCTTGGATTCCCGCGGCTGATTCATCATTAAAGTGCTAATTGGTAAAATGTAGATAAATTATTTAAAAGCACTATAAAGCAAGCAAATTTTTTGAGTTAGAAACTTTGTTACTTCGTCGTTCGTCGTTTCATAGTTCATCGTTTAATAGTAGCTTAGAGTGGCAACGCTATGGCAATAGTAGCTCATAGTAGTTGGCCATAATTGACGAGTGCGTTTTGTCCGATTTCACAAATCGTTAAAAGCATTATATTACAGGAGCCCTAGAAGGGATTTCGGGAATAACTCGAGCGTGGGGGATTAACATAAGGAGGAATACCTTACACCCAGTTAAGTAACTCCACCTACATATAAGCGAAGCGTCTAGGGAAAAAGCGTCTAGCGTTCGTCAATCATTAGTCAGATTAGTTAAAAAAAAATCGATGACCAGAAATACTCGAGCGTGTAAGATTTAGGTAAGTTCAGTCAATTACATTAGTGTGTATTTAAAAACAATTCAGACGATTTGACATTTTTAGATTGACATAAAGCAGTTTGAGGTCACAAAGGTCCAAGAACAAACTCATGACCTTGACATTTCTTTTTATTTTGAAGCAAACAATTCAAGAAATCTTCTTTAAATGTCCATATAATTTTTCGTGCCTTTATTTGTCACATTTTATAAAAAATTAAGAAACGAAAATATTTCTAACCGTCAGATTTAAAATACCCTGAAAAAGAATGGTCAGATTTTTGGCCAGTTTGAGAGAAACATCAAGCTGAACGCCGTCTGTATAAAATCTAACATGCTCGGGTATTTCGAAATGGCGATTTCTCGAATTTGCTGTTTTGCATTTTCGATAATTCGCTACTTTGCGTCAGTTTAAAATCGTCAGACCTTTCAACGGGAGCATTTTTGGCGTCCAAATAGCATATCTCCAAAATATCTAATGCGCCCTACTACAAAAAAACGATTTCCTTCCTTTACATTTTTTAAAATCTGTAGAAGCTTTACCCACCGCTGAAAGTGAAAACATTATACAACTTATTCATTCTATTACCTAATCTTTCAAATTCAATAAGTCCTCATGACGCTCGAGTAAATCCACATTTAGCATCATGGGCTCCCCTTTTTTTTTCTGTGCGGAAATCCCCTCGGATACCACCTATCGGTGGCATGTCGGACTCGAACCGACTAAAACCGCACGCCGTCTCGATTACTAATAGCCGGGGAACCAGGTATACCCTAGAAAGGAAGTCCCTGGTGCCCCGACATACCTCGGGCCATCTACAACAACAGGTAGAAGACCCCCCGTGTGGGAACCCCATGTTCCCTCTGCTCCCTGGAAGCGAGCGCGCTTCGCAACGCGCTCGCCGCCCGCCCGGCCTGCTTCTGCTAGGGTGACAGATGGCTTCACCTGTCACCCCCAGGCCTGCGCTTATTTGGAACGGAGGTCGTTCTGCGACCTCCGGCGCCTGAGTCGCCTGCGGTACCTGGCCCGTTCCCGGACCTGGTGGGCCCGCCGGATCCCGCTCCGCCGTCTCCTTCGCGAGCATAACTTGCTCGCAGAAGGAGACGGCAGAGTTCCACGCACTCTCGCTCCGCACGATAGCCGCAATCAGGCTATCGAGCGAGAGAACTCCCACTTCGATGGCCGCCACGAGGTCTCGCCTCTGCTCAACCCACGCCGGGCACTCTGCCAGCGTGTGGAGAGCCGTGTCCACGGTCTGGCCATCGCAGTGGTGGCACTCAGGCGTTGGCTCCTTGCGGATCAGACACAGGTGATTCCCGAAACATCCTTTCCCAGTGATCACCTGCGTCAGTCGGTATGAGAGGGTCCCGTGACGCCTCTCGAGCCATTCCTCCATAACGGGTCTTACTCAACTCCCCTATGATGACCTGGCGGAGTTGGGATTTCCGGTCATCGATTTCGCGAATCTCGGGACACCGACCCAACTCCCGCGCCTCCTTATCATGGGCTCCCCTACTATTAAGTACATTAATCATTATCAGTCAATCTAGCTTTCATAGTACACGCTCTGCTTAGTTTGAAAGTATATGGCATTTGTGTCAGATGTCCGAAAATTTTTTTATTACCATCTTTAGTCACATTCAACATGTCGCCAACAAATCCAAATACTTGTTTATGTTTTTCAGCTTTCAACAGATTGTCGTCATGTGATTGATTGTCGAAATGGTAATGTCAACAATAATTGCTCGGCGCGCTAATCGGTCTATTACCACTATATCAGGTTTATTTTCAACAATAGTCCTGTCAGCGATAATAGAGTGTTGCACGCCTATTTACTAGAACTGGGTCGGGCACATATTGCTAGTACGGTAACTCCACAGTCACAAGGTATACTTAAGAGCAAGTTGCTGATGGACTATCCTGGCCACTTGGTTATGTCTATGCAAGTACTCGCCGTTGGCAAGACGAGAACAACCGGAAATTATGTGTCTGATGTTTCACCGGAACAATGACATGCCCGACAAATGTCTATTGTGCCGTCCTTCAGGATATTCAGGTCTTAGGATAATTATTCGTCATAACAACTTCATCAGTAATTCCAAAGACAAAACCTTCAGTTTCTTCGAAGAGGTCCGAATACAGACGCCAGTTGTTCTACCTTTAGGCCTCTTCAAGGCATGATTAAACCAAAATAAATAAATAATATTATTATTATTCTTAATGGAAGTGTTAGGAATACATCGATACAGTTTTACACAAGATTTCCTTAGCAGTAAAAGCTACTGTTAATCAATAGACATACATGCTGTGTAATGTATTTGATTTCTTTTTTTTTTTAAATGACAACTCCCACATAAGGAAAATATCCTGTGTCGCGGGGGTCTTTGCAAACATATATAAAACGGACACAAAGAACACCCAGACTCAGGACAACAGATTGTGAATCACACAAAGTGTCGTCCCATTTAGAGATCGAACCCACAACACTCAGAGTAATAGTAAGCGCCGCTTAAACCACTACGCCATATGTGCAGTCTAAATTCACAAGTATAGGTATCGTATGCTATTTTTGGCATACATCATCGAGTATTGAAATATTAAACTTATTGTGATGTATCGCGTTTGGTAGGCGGAAGGCATCGAATTTGTCGCAATTTAAGCTAATTGGTGTATCTTGTAACTGACGTAGCTATGCGAGAAATACATTTGCAGTGACGAAATTTAAAAGTTAAAAGTCGCAGTAGACACAGCAATAGATAACGCGATACTCACTACACCTAATTGAATAAATTGAACAGTCGAATGTCCGTTACATAATTACAGTTGACGCTAAGAGACGGATGCGATGTGGTCGGATGTGGTTTGGACAGGTGAAACCTGCTGGACGAGCGCGGTTCGATGTCCGGCAGAGCACTTGTCGCGCTTAAGTTCGTTCGTAACATTTTTTCTCAGTTCCCCGAGACCATATGCTGTAGTGGCCTTGGTATGTTTTTAATATAAAACAGGATCCATATCTAGATTTATATTTATTTCAACCTGACAAAATATCATTAGTAGGTAACTTTGAAAGACCAAAAAGTGTTATTACATTTTTCTATTAGAACTGTAATCAGGACAGTGGATGTGCAGGACTTGGGCTTTTAAAACCTGATTACAAATATCCTTTCATTTTATTAATTTTAGCAAAAGTTGGACAAAGGCCTTATATAACAATTATGGCGTAACAATGTACTAACGACCGATTACATAACAAACATTGGCTCTATAATAAAAGATTTTATTGCGGAACTCGCGACCTTTATAGATATCTCTGTTTGAAGTCTATCCAGATCCGTAGTTATTTAATAATTTCACAGAGCAAAGATGTGACGCCCGCCTAGTGTTTGCGCGCCCTCGGTCGCAGTGTTTGCACTCAATAAGCCGCAGCAAACAGTCTTTGATCGACCTATTCTTTATCCAAACCTTTCAGCACACCCACTTCGTGTACACAATTTGTCAATTTAGGTAATCCAACAAGCAAATTACCTCTAAACGTCATAAATGTTTAGAGTTAATTCACGAGCCACGATAATTAAGTAATTAATTAAACGTTATGTTATACTTACTGCTTAAAATTTTAGTTGGCTTCAAGGTTCAAGTGAATTACCTTAACTAATAATATAAATGCGAAAGTAGGATCGTTTACTCGCTTTAACTCTTAAACCGATCATCATGAAAGTTGCGTATTATGTTGACAGGGGTCCAGTAAACGAAAAAAATATTGTTGGTAGGTAGTAAAAGTACCTAGTATTTTTTTTGTGTTCAATGGTACACCCGATTGGTCAGGAGTTTAACCGAAACATGACATACCTAAGTACACACATGCATGTCAACATGTCAACGGAATTTAAAATACAAATGCGTAAATATGGGCGACAACGCCGCGGCGGTATGCAATTACATAAAGTTTTATTGGATTAACAAAACAACACTGTTTAGTGTTCATTAATTTTGTAGCGACCGAGTAATAAAATGTCCATACATACGTCGTTATAAATGAGTTCAAAACTATCTTTTTCATACATATATTATGTAAGTGTTCTTAAAGAAATATCAAGTTTGCATTGAATTATGTTTTTTAACATTAATTTAAACCAATTATGTTCTTCATCTTAATAAACAGGTAAAAACTCAATATAATAAAACTCCAAGTAAAAAAGGGAAAAGGTAGGACCATTATGAATAACTTGACAAATCTCACGCAACACCGGCCGATCACAAACTAGGAAGAGGGTGTTATTACATACCTATTTCTTAGCTTCGGTGGACTCACCGTGCGGGTGCCGGGTCCATCGCGTGTTAGATGGGGGCAACACATGCGACTTCGACAGCGCTCACCTCCACTGTCTGCTGTGTTACCCCTTCTACCTTACCATATTTGATGCGAGCCTAGCCATGCCGCTTTGGATATTCGTTCAAGAAAAGAGCTGACTGAAGCTCTTGGAAATCGAAGCTCTTTAAGCAGGTTATAGAGGTATATCAATTGCACCCATTTCCACGGCATACACCCAACGACATAACCATTTTTAGTTATTTCGTTGGTTAAGTCAAAGTACTTGTTTCTTTTTAAAGCGTTGTCTTTCTGAATGTTCGTTTCACACGGCACTGTGAGTTCTACTAGTACTACACGCCTGATTGACATTGCATAAAGAAATACGTCTGGACGCCTTCCACTAATAATATCCAGTCACTGGCGGTATTTATAATTAAGTCCCTATTCATCCCTTGAGTGTCCTAAGAGCCGAATAAGCAAACTACGCAGGACAACAGCACTGCTAAGGAACAGCACTGAAGGAAAACTTGAAACAGACCCTTTTTTTTTTTTTTTTTTAGCGTGTGGAAATCCCCTCGGACCGTCACCCCTCCGGGGTTTGCGGCGGGGTGGTGTGTCGGACTCGGACCGACTAAAACCACACGGTGTGCCACTCTGCGCCTGTACAAGGAGGGATCCGGGAACAGCTGTTATTAAGACATCCGGACCCCTCCTAGCGCCAGCCCGCTCTTGGTGCGGGCTCCGTCTCAAAAATTTTTTTTTTCCTCTCTTTAGGCGACGTCCGGCACACGCGGACGCCGCCCCCTCGCGGCTGGCCAAACTAACTTGAAACAGACCCTATGTCAACCCGTTTGGTCAGCATGGTATAGTAGGCCGAAACGTCCTTTCTTAGGAGAGGCCTATGTAAAGCAGTGGACTGTTATAAGCTGTTGATGATGATGATGATGATGACGGCTTTTGTGAAGTCTTTTTTGTTGAGCCTTCCTTTACTAACGCGATGTTAATTCTTATTCCTTTTTCGTTCTCGCCAGCGATAAACTTATAGCTTTGCGTATGATTTGTAATATCCTATCACGGCGACGTGAATAATGAAGCCGGTCTAATAGCGCCTTACAACCTGTCAGTAAGTGTCTGGCTGTACCTATTTCCGCACTGCACTTCGAACAAGCCCTTTCCGTAGCTTTTCCACATCTTACTGGGTTGCTTTGATCGGGGAGAGTCAATTGGAAGGCGTTGAGGTAAAATTTTAACAGGGCAGGTGACCAATCATATAAAAGTGTGCGCCATTTCTCAGCTGGTGGGATACAAAATTCTCCTAGAGGCTCTCCTTAGACAGGAGGTTTTGGTCGGCAGTGCTAGACATTTGCCTATGTCTAGCACTGCCGACCAAAGAGAGACTAGACTATTAAAGGCTGTTGATGTGATGATTAACTTGTTAATTGACTGCAACTTCAACTATTGACTGCACGAATGGTTTAAGCGGTCACCTAGCCTCTGCCTACTGCGCTGAATGTTGTGCAAAAGATTACACATATCTGAACTACAAATCGGAACTATCTCTTACAAATTATGTATTGTAATATTAATGTACTACTAACAAATAGCACCCATTACTCCATAAGTATTAGATGTCATTTTATTTAATAGTGTTTTAAGGCACAATATATTGGCCTCTCTAGCTATTATACAAAGTTTTAAGATATCCAATAAATTTCTTTTGATCAACAGTAGTATCTACGCTTGGTTGGAAAATCTACGCTCATATCATTTTGGGTGTCAAAAACGGTAAACCATGACTTTGGGGATGATGTGAATGCTGTCGGATAATTTTCTGACGATTCGAGAGTAACAGTTTTTAAGCATCTCTGACATGCAAAGGGTATAGTGGATAAATGATGAAGTTTAAACAGTTTTAAGCATAAAATTTGGTAAGAAGAAAGAAATAATACAAAATGTCTTTAGATCCATATGATGCTAGTGAAATGGTCTAGTCTGGACAAATTGCTAGTTTGATTGGCGACATGCAGGAATGGTGGCTGCTCATGTGCAGAATGCTTACAGCATTGTTTAATAAATAGATATAT